TTTTTTGAGGCAGGGTCTTGCCCTGTCTCCCAGGCTGGAGTGCAGTGGTGAGATGTTAGCTCACTGCAACCTCTGTCTCTCAGGCTCAAGTGATCCTCCCACTTCCGCCTCCCGAGTAGCTGGGAACTCAGGCACGCATCACCAGTCCCGGCTATTTTATTTTATTTTTGTATTTTTAACATAGACGGGGGTCTCACCATGTTGTCCAGGCTGGTCTTGAACTTCTGAGCTCAAGCGATCCGCCCGCCTCAGCCTCCTAAAAGTACTGGGCTTACAGGTGTGAGCCAGCGCGCCCTGCCGGGGAACCCTTGTTGGAGAGGGGAGGGAGAGGCCTGGGAGCTACCAGGGAGGTGAGACTTAGGACACAGCCCTCCTGAGTCGTGGTGGAGGTCTGGGTCTTTGGTCGTGGCACGGGGTTAAAGGTCAGAGAGCTGAGATTTCAAGGAGGAACTGGTCAGGAAGGCATTGCTATCTCTCTGTCCTAGAGGAAGGAGGCACAGAGCTACCAGGCCTCTGGGTCCCCTTTCAGGAGGGTTGGAAACTAGGTGTCAGAGGGGGCAGGAATTTGGCAACAAGATTCCTGGGTCCCCACGACGGTGTGGCCTGCGAGAAATCAGGCCTGGGTTAAGTAAGATACCCCTGAGTCCCGAAGAAGCCAGGCGGGAAGATGGGGTTCAAGCCTGCGGTGGCGGAGAGCGACTCGTTTGCGCAGGGGCGGCGGGGCGCGGCTTTCACCCAACCTGTGGAACCTGTAACATCAGCCTGGTTGCGCGCTGGGCAGCCACACGGGGCGCCGTCGGCCGCGCCTTCCCTCCGCCCCTAATGCATTCCAGCCACGCCCCATCCCCGGCCCAGCCGTTTTTTTTCTTTTTCTGTGATACACGGTCTTGCTCGGTCTTGCTCTGCTGCTCAGGCTGGAGTGCAGTGGCCCGATCATAGCTCACTGCAGCCTGGATCTCCTGGGCCCAATCTATCCCCCATGCTCGGCCTCCCAAAGGGCTGGGATTACAGGCGTGAGCCACCATGCCTGGTCAGACCAGGCCAAGTTCTGATTTCAAATGTGCACCTACCTAGAGAGCTTTGAATCAGTAGCTAGTAATAACCCACTTTTATTTTATTTTATTTTATTTATTTATTTATTTTTTTTTTGAGACAGGGTCTTGCTCTGTCTCCTAGGCTGGAGTGCAGTGATGTGATCACTACTCATTGCAGCCTCCGGGGCTCAAGTGATCCTCCTGTCTCAGCCTCCCTAGTAACTAGGACTACAGGTGTGCACCACCACATCGGCTGTTTTTTTATTTTTTTATTTTTAGTATAGATGATGTCTCACTATGTTGCACAGGCTGGTCTTGAACTCCTGAGCTTAGGCAATCCTCCAGCCTGGGCCTCCCACAATGCTGGGATTGCAGTGATGTGAGCCACTATACCTGGCCATAGCTAGCACTGATTGAATGTTGACTGTCTACCAGGCCCTGTGTGTGATGCTTTGCAAACATTTACACACTGAATTCTCAAAAGCCCTTTGGCCTTGTAGTGTAGGGGGCTTAGGATGGGAGCCCAACCTCAGCCCCACCCCTATCTTGTAGGAACTGAAAATCTTAAAATTTTTCTTTAAATTAAAAAAACGACCAAAAAAGATCGGGCTGGGTGCAGTGGTTCATGCCTGTAATCCCAGCACTTTAGGAGGCCAAGGCAGGCAGATCACTTGAGCTCAGGAGTTTGAGACCAGCCTGGCCAACATGGTGAAACCTCATCTCTACTAAAAATACAAAAATTAGGCCAGGTGCAGTTGCTCACGCCTGTAATCCCAGCACTTTGGGAGGCCGAGGTGGGTGGATCACTTGAGGTCAGGTGTTTGAGATCAGCCTGGCCAACATGGCGAAACCCCAGCTCTATTAAAATACAAAAATTACCTGGGTGTGGTGGCAGGTGCCTGTAATCCCAGCTACTTGGGAGGCTGAGTCAGGAGAATCGCTTGAACCTTCGAGGTGGAGGTTGCAGTAAGCCAGGATTGTACCACTACACTCTAGGCTGGGTGACAGAGCAAGACTCCATCTCAATAAATAAATAAATACAAAAATTAGCTGGGCATGGTGGTGTGCCTCTAATCCCAGTTACTCGGAGGTTGAGGCAGAAGAATTGCTTGAACCCAGGAGGCGGAGGTTGCAGCGAGCCAAGATCACATTACCGTACTCCAGCCTGGGTGACAGAGTGAGACTCTCTCTCAAAACCAGCAACAACAAAAAACAAAAAACAAAAAAACCAAAAACCGGGATGAAAACCCGTTAGCCTGACAAAAGTTCAAAGTGTTGACTATGCAAGTGTTGGCAAGGAGCTGGTGTGAGTGCAAATGGAAAACTACATTGGAGAGCAATTTAGCAGCATCCATAAGACCTTTGGACAAATGGACAGGGCGGGTCCATGTCTGGCTGCCTCTTTCAGAGCTGTGGCTTGTAAACACTTTTGCTGATATCTGGACATTAGGACAGCAATACACCTGAAGTGAGAGTTTCACAGGAGAGCTCTCACTCCAACTATGAGCCTGGACTCTAATGTCTTCTATTTAATTCCATTTTATTAAGGGAAACATGGTTTATAACCCACTAAATTGATTTTGCAACCCACTAATGGATCTTCTTCGGCTATTTGAAAAATACTGCCCTAAGAAACTCCAAGAGACATGTTCAGGGATGTTAATTGCATCCTTGTCGGAAGTGGAGGAGAGTGGAAACAAGGTGGATGGACGTTCACCACCATCAGCCTGACATAAACTGTGGCGTGCTCTCACAATAAAACTCTTGTGCAGCCATTAAGGTGAGTGAACTGGACACAAATACCAACTGTGTGTGTCATGAACACATAATGATGAGTGGCCTGGGTTGAATCATTCCCCTCCCTGCCAAATTCATGTCCGCTGGAACTTATGAATGTGGCCATATTTGGAAATAGGGTCTTTGGTTATGTAATCAGGTTAGGATGAGGTCGTATTGGATTGGGGTGGGTCCTAAATCTGACTGATGTCCTTATGAAAAGGAAATTTGGATACAGTTACAGCTGTGTGTGTGCGTGCGCGCACACGCACACACACACACACAACATGATGATGGCAGCAGAGACATTGGAGTGAAGCATCTATAAGCTAACGAATACCAAAGATGATCAGTGAACACCAGAAGCTGGAAGAGGGTGGTGCTCACTCCTGGAATCCTAGCACTTTGGGACGCCGATGTGGGAGGATTGGTTGAAGCCAGGAGTTTGCGATCAACTTGGCAACATAGCAAGGCCCTATCTCTGCAAAAAAAGAAAAATAAAAACAAAAGACTGGGTGTAGTGGCATGCTGCCTGTGGTCCCAGCTACTTGGGAGGCTGAGGTGGGAGGATTGCTTGAACCCGGGAAGCAGAGGTTGCAGTGAGCCAAGATCACGCCATTGCACCCCACTCCTGGGCAACAAAAGAGAGAAAACTTTGTCTCAAAAAAAAAAAAAAAAAAGAAAGAAAGAAAAAAAGAAAAAAAAAATCTGCAACTATATGGACTCTTTTCCGGGATTTGATCCAGGTTTTTTTTTTTTTTTTTTTTTTTTAATTAAAAAAATTTTTTTTCTTTTTAAATAGAAACAGGGTTTCACCACGTTGGTCAGGATGGTCTCTATCTCTTGACCTCGTGATCTGCCTGCCTCGGCCTCCCAAAATGTTGGGATTACAGGCGTGAGCCACTGCGCCTAGCCGATCCAGGTTTTTTTGTATCCGTTTTGCAACTATATGAACTCTATTTCCAGACCCAAAGTGGATACAAACGAAGTGAATGACATGAAAAGATGCTCCACAATATGATCTGTTAAGGAAATGAACATGAAAACCACAGTGAATGCCGCTTCACACCCACTAGGACGACTGTCATAAACGAGACAATCACAAGTGTTGGCAAGGATGTGGAGAAATTGGAACCCTCTACACTGCTGGCAGGAATGTAAAATGGTGCAGCTGCTTTGGAAAATAGTTTGGCAGCTCCCCGAAATGTTAAACATAGGGCTAGAGCATTCCTACGTGTATATATATATTCCAGAGAGTTGAAAGCACATATCTACCCAAAGACTTGCGGAAACAACCTAAACGTCCATCAACTGAAGAATGGATGAACAAAATGTGGTCTATTCATACAACAGAAAATTGTTCGGCCGTTAATAGGAATGCAAGTGGCCAGGTGTGGTGGCTCATGCCTGTAATCCCAGCACGTTGGAAGGCCGAGGCTGGCAGGTCACCTGAGGTCAGGAGTTCCAGACCAGCCTGACCAACAGAAAGAAACCTGTCTCTACTAAAATACAAAATTTGTTGGGCATGGTGGCGCATGCCTGTAATCCCAGCACTTTGGGAGGCCAAGGCAGGCAGGTCACCTGAGGTCAGGGGTAGGAGACCAGCCTGGACAACATGATGAAACCCCGTCTCTACTAAAATGCAAAAATTAGCCGGGTGTGTGGTGGGCACCTATACTTCCAGCTACTTGGGAGGCTGAGGCAGGAGAATCCCTGGAACCCAGGAGGTGGAGGTTGCAGTGAGCTGAGATAGTGCTATTGCACTCTAACTTGGGCGACAGAGCAACACTCCATCTCAAAAA